CTGCATACTTCTTATAGCCTACCTGTACAGAAAAACTAATAGAAAAATCCTAAAAAGTGTAATCCGCAATTTGCCGTATGTATTGGAATTTCTACCGAAGATGTAATATTTACAGAAAAACTGAACATACATAATGGCTGATACAACACAAATGAAATTAGTATAAGCCCGCTATAGGGATACCAACTGATAATTTATATATAGGCTATATATTAATTCAATGATACACATTAAAGTCGAATATCACTGTAAATATTCTAGTTAGTAATAGTATAATGAAGAATACTCATTGAATTGTCATACAATAGTTTTCGGCAATTTAATACCAAGCAGTAACCTCTCTATGGCTTTAAGCGTGTATGTCTTGATTGTGATAAATATATAGGCTACTGATATCCATCCATCCATCCATCTAACCGCTGGATAGGATCGTATTTTCAAATTGTTCGGCAGCTAAATTCAAGTTATGCATATTCGTTAATTGCATATATTACATATCAAGCACATGCTGTGGGTAACGAATAAAATGTTCATCCTTGCATTTCCCTTTTAGATGTATTTATCGCAAATGTTTAGAAATATCGAGTTCTCTCGTTACCACAGAAAAAAAGCTAAAAAAAAAAAAAAAAACACATAATAAAGGTAGAGTATAGAGGAACAGGTCTTTCACACAGAGTTTTGAACATTTAGTATTCCAAGGCACCAGTAAGGAAAGCTTAAAATAAAAGCTAAGACTTGATAAACTAAATTGTGTATTATGTTATATTACACTGCCGTTACTTTTATGTTTCGTGTCATATTATTTGAAATATTCTAAAATGTTAACGACGAAAAATGAAATAAAAGTTCAATTTATAGCTTTCCCATTGCCAAACAGCATTAACGTTTAATATGGCTTCCATATGGCCTATTTGGAGAGAATAACTGTAAATGTATCGACGATACAGCTGTTTATGTGCCAACTTCGGGAAAAGTAATAGTTTCAAAGTTTACTTTAAATATGTCTGCTAAATGTTACAATACTCTTTTAATTAGGTCTAGCCTATTTAATTCCCTTTTTTATGTCGTATTAAGCTGAAAATGATAAACTTTATTAGAAAGATCGTACCTTGTTAACAGCTTCCACAGTCCTGTTGCGAGCTCTTCGGGAATTATCCTTAAATTCAGTGGAAATCTTCACGTCTTCTTATTGATATCTACGTTTGACTGTTGCCCGTTGCAGGTGGCCACTTCTGTAAATAGTGAACCATTATTATGGTAGCCTACTGCCTCACTCCAAACCAAGAAGCTGATAATTTATTTTAAATTCCTCAAGCCCTTATATTATTAAATAGGGAATAGGAAAAAGATGCATTCATGAAATCTGCCAACTCTCTATCCAGAATTGTTGACAAAGGTCACGGTTAAAAGCGGGATTAGGAAGGCTGAGAGCGTTGTAATGATACTTTACAAAAATCTCAATAACAAAATGAATCATTGTAATTGCAAATTTTTCTCTAATGTGTATAATTAGAAAATTACATTTAATTAATATAAACCTGATTAGCATGCAAGCCTTCTTCGTTTATTCCCAATGACTATTAATCAAAACATTCTAATAGATGGAAAAGTATTTCTTGTTGAATAATCATTTCTAGCATACCCTGACTTGGAATTTGTAGACATGCATGCAAGTTATCATGATAGCCTACCTAACCAAAGGAGGAAAATCTGCTCGTTCCTTTTAAAAAGCATATTTGCAATGGGATATTTCCGAGGTCAATACCTCCACCTAGTGGATGAGTGATAGAACGTTTTAGTCAGAACGTTAACTATTGTTGTCTACTGACCTCTCGTGGATTATTGCTGCTGCTGCATGCAATTATCAGAATCGGAATACTTTTGTCCCGGAGGAAATTGCTTGTAGTTGCAGACTGCATAATATACAGATACACAAAGCACAGAATAGAAATACACAATGCCACGTACAAAACTTCTACATAAAAATGAATTAAAATAAATAAGGGTAAACATATAACATATTAATATAATTAAGTTGGTGAATATGCAAATTAGTAGAGTACTATGGTGATAAACACAAATTGGGTATTTTAAAATATTTTAAGATTCTTCAGCTCAGTTAGTATGTGTTAAATGACAATTAATTTGGACAATAAAACAACGCAAACTTCAACACCATGATATTGTGACAATCCACCCATCTTCATACTACTTCTCATAGCCAGGGTTGATTGGGGAGTGCGCAATACAGAGCAGAAGGCACAAAGCACCATAACAGTCTGAACTGGATGCCAGTCCATTGCAGGGCACCTGCACAGTAGTTTTCCTGACCACAAGTTTTTAAACTGTCGGAAGAATCCAGAATACCCAGAGAAGGTATTCTGCTGGTGAAGAATGCAGTTTAGCTGTCACTCCAGAATATGGAGCAAGTGCTTCACTTGAGATGCAATGACTGTGTATAATTTTCATTTTCATACTCACTGCTCATGCCCAATGCATCTCATACGGATTCATGGGCATCCTGGGAGATCTTACTCCATAAAATATGGATTTATTGGCTTCCAATTTTATTGCCATCTACTGTATTTTCCAACAAATAATGAAATCTGACCCATTTTTTTAAACAACATCCTGAAAAACAATGTGTTGTTCGTATCTTTTCATTTTAAAAATGCATATTCTGAGTGATGGTTCTGAGGCTAGGGATCTGTGCCAGCAATCAGAAGGTCGCTGGTTCAAACCCTGTGAAGGCCAGCAGTGATCCTACTCTGTTGGGCCCTTGAGCAAGGCCCTTCACCTGTAACTGCATGGGTATGACCTCACCTACATCCAGCCCCATTAGGAGGTCCTCCAGCTTACAGGGGGAAGACTTGGAGGTTGGTGGCAGGATTGGCACTCTAGCCACCAGAAAAAAAGTGTGGTGCTGAGGTATCACCCATTGCATGGCTGCACGTAGGTTCTTGTCCCTGAGGTGGTGCAATGGGCTGTAATCAGTGCGCATCCCCTTACCTTGTAACATGAGGTGTTTGTGTACCGCAACCAGATCAGAATTACCTTCTCAATATTATTCTAAACCCATGAGAGGTACCACTATTTACATCTGCATTCATTTGATTCAGAACTGGTTTTCTGATTTGCCTTGCATCTCAAGCCAATAGAAAAACATCATGGAGTGATGTGTGCCATCATACATGGTTGCCCCAAGTTGAAGCTTTTCCTTCCTTCAGACTTACATACCAATACGGGCAGTTCGGGAGGGCAGTGGCCCCATGACAATATCCATGGCCTCCCCTGTGACCCGCCTAAATATGTATGCTACTTCGTTCTGAAACAAATGCATTATTATTATTACAACTATTATTAATTACATTTGTATATGTAAAATTTGTGTGTTGCACACAGGCAAAACACAAACATAAGCACATTTTCTTGACAGACTCATAATGTATGAGTGCCGGGTGGTCAAGTCGCTTCATTTGGTGACAGAAAAAAATAATCAAGCTTGTGGAAGCAAGACAATCTAAACAAGAAATCAAAGTAAAAATGTGACTGCAAAGCATTGCATAAAAAACTTATAGGTTTTCAAAATTGTCTTTTGCTTGTTAATGCTGGCAATCCAATGGAGTAAGCAATACATGGAGGGCATTAAGGTCAAATGCCTCTGCCCCCCCCCACACACACACAACAGGACAAATGCCCCGTCTGGCCCTCCAGTTGAAATGGTCTACAACTGCTACTGCATGCCATTTTAGCCATTTTGTCTTGTGAAATACCAACAATTTCAGCAGGTTTTGTAGCTTAACCTCATGTCAAATGCATGTAAACCATCAGCCCTTTTTCAGACATTGAAATCTGCTCTTCTAGCCACATTAGAGATTACTGGGCCTGTCCAACAATCTGTCATCACCACAAACATGATTAGACGTTTGGAAGTTCAGGAACTGCTCCTTATTTTTTTCCCCCTAAATCAAATGCAAAACAATTCAGTTAGAGCAGAACTGAGCAGAGCCATATCATCTGGTGCTTAATCATGAGAAAAAAGCCAAGTAAGTGTGTGCATATATGTACACACACACACACACACACACACACACTTCCTTACCTTATTTCTGCTGATTAAGTACTAAGACATTCAGATAGGAACAAATCCATGGGAAAAGACAGATACATTTCTTCTTTCTTCTAGATAATATTGCCCTGCTCACACTGAAACAGGATTACGGATCCCAGCATTTATAGTACAAAAAGGCCCCTCAGCTGACATTAATGGCATGCTCTCCTGTTTCATTAATTTCCCAGGTATGAACAAGTAGCCCATCTGTCTCTTTGCAATAAGGGCATAATGTCTCCTTACAATACAACTAAGGTGGAAAATTAACCACTTCCAAGGTCTCAATGTGAACCTTTTCACCTATTTCATATACGGTCATCAAAAGTAAGCTGCATGCGGAGTTTGTAATACAACTGTTAATTCCACGGGACGCCATATTTTTTTATATTTGTCAGATGCCATTGTCCACGTGTGTGGGGAACTTGCGGATGGTTTTGCTGCAGCTTCCATGCTTCCCTCACTCAGTCTAAAGGCATGCAGTCAGGGTAACTGGTATCTCTAAGTTGCTCGAAATGTATGATTATGTATGTGCCCTGTGAAGGACTGGCACTCTCACCAGGGCGCTCCTCATAGCCTGGGATAAAACTGAGGCTGCCCAGGAGAAGCAGCAAGAATGGATGGGTGTCAATGTTATACTGAATTGTAGGACAATACTGGAATTCCCAGAGGAAACCCACACATGCACAGAACACAGAGCCTGGGGTGGGAACTGAACCCACAACCCTGGCAGTGAAAGACCATTTCCCTAAAAACATTTTTAAAGTGTTAAATGGAGGAAAAACAAACACATTTTCTTTCATTTTAAATAAACAGAATAGTTCTCATGCTTAGTTTGGTAAAAAGGTTCTCATGTACATAACATAGCAAAAACCACAAAATATGTCAAACATCTGGTTTAAACAAATTTAAATTTATTGAAAGTAAACAGATACATAAGCTATTATTCCATAACTAATAAAATGCCAGAAAAAGCTTGATTTGATTGCAAAAGGAAAAAAAAGCTGTAGAAACTCAATACAGAAAATATTTGGCGTTCATGTTTTTGTGGCAGTATTTACAATATTTACAGTATATTTGCCATTACTCTGTTTCTAAGGCACCAAAGGCTAATTAGCAGAAGTATTTACTGTTTTGTGCAGGGCAGAGATAATCAAACTTCAAAGGTTTCAAATGAAAACCATTTAACAAAAAATAAAACAGAAAAAAAAACAAAAAAGTAGCACAACTGAATCTTCACTCATCCACGTTCACTATGTTGTTCTGAAGTACGCTGTCCTTGTTTTTATTTCTGATTATTGATTTTAAAAATTCAGTTTTTGTTTTGCAAATCAATGCAATTTTATTCATTTTTATAGATGTATTTTTTTAATGAATATGATTTACAAAAATTATAAAAAAAAATAAGTAGCCACCATATTGAAAACGAAGACAATACTGTTTGTAGAAAAGGGACTAATGAATTCATTTTCACTGTTTCACCTCATGTACTATCTTATCTATTTGTGTAACACATTTGATTCACATTTTGAATTAAATAAAAAAAGGACTATAAAATTGTAACCATCAGGTATTTACAATAGGAGTATTTTTAACTGAATCGTAATAAATTTCTTTTCTATAGGGTGGGAGCATATAATGCCTAAAACAAGAACCATTATGTATTCCAAATATACATATGCAGAATCAAATGGAACTTCAGTTTGGGGAATCCATCAAGCTATCCGGTTCAGATAATAAATTAAACATTAAAAAAGCCTTAACTCAGCATTAATCAAAGTTTTACTATTATTTTAATAAACAGCATTTTGAAACTGGAATTAAGGAACAGTGTGCATTTCATGATATACATTTATGAAATCTTCACCAAGTTTTAATTTCCAATTTTTTCCCTTTTTTTTCGAATAGGGGAATATATTACAACATTTACACACCACTTTAAACGCATTGAACATTTTTAACAAAAATGTTCATTATATTTATCATAATATCCATATATACTATAACACTGATACAGTGTTAAGAGCATTTACTTCAGCTGATAATAGAATAATGCTCCTGGTCAAAAATTTAACTTCTCATTTCAAATAATTTTGTCAAAAGAAACTACAAGTTTTAATACCTTCTATGCTATTTCAATTAAAAGGAGACACAAGGATGTGCCATATTAAATATTCAATCAGTAATGAAGAACATTTGGACAAATAAAGCCTATAATATGAAACTAACAGCATTCCTTAAAACTATGAAAATACTTACCTAATCATCTATTTTAACCAAATTTTTACTCTCATTTATTGCTTTTGATAACCATTGATCAGACATTAATCAAAGTTTTCTGTAATATGTCCTAACTGATGAAAAATAAGCAAGGGGAGCATGTGACATTTTGATTTAATTGATTCACTTATAAATGTCTACAATTAGAAAGAAATGGCCAAATATAAAAGCGGAACCTCAAACACAAGCTTTGTTTTCCCCCCATATAAACCCCATCCCTTATAAAATAACCTGTTAAGTCTCCCCATGATTTTCTAAACATCATAGAATATCATTAGTATATCAGAAGTTGAAGGCAGATAAAAACCGAAGACTGGAAAAAGAAGCACTGACCAATTGCTGTAAACCAGTTACTGCTGGTGTATTGAGCAGCAACCATTATTGTCATTGGGCTTTGTGTTGGGCTTATGAAGAGAAATTAAGCAACTGCGGGAGGTACGCTGGGAACATCCCTACAACAACCATTTTATCGCTGCTCTGAAGCCAGCAGCATGGCCAGATAACTAGAAGGTGACGTTGATGGTTCTCTTACACTGAAAAGTATTAGGTTTGGATAGCATTCATTGTAGTCAAGCATGAATCTTGTGTAAATCACCTTATTTGGAAGAAAACATCAGTTAAATATGACTGACAATTGATCATTGGTGGGGGGGAGGCATTTTGATAAGTGTAATACATTGTATACCAAAAAATCAATTAAAGTGCATATCAACACCATTGTTGTTCACTACCTACACTGCAAACAGACATGTCTCATTTAGTAAACATCTTGTGAGATTTGGCTTTTTGTTATACAGGAGTACCAAATTACTGTAAAGGTTCAACAACTATGATAAATCCTATCAATTTCACCAAGAATGTTACTTTTTTTCTTTTTTTATTAAAAAAGATGAAAGCAGTCCATCGGTCAAACTGGACTTTCCTGACAATTCATAAACAGTGAAGGTTACTGTACTTAAAAAATAAAGTCAGAATTTGTAATAGCAGAAGGCTCAGTGTACTTACTTTTTTCATACTTCATACCGGGGTACAAAGGTTTCACTTTTTAAGATTTCAAACCAATTTAATTTCTTAGTAGTGTTCCATGCTTATCAAATCAAACTATAATCACCACTTTAGCTCAAAATCCAGCTTTGAGGCTATAAAGGGTGAACTCAGGCTAGAGTAAAGAGTCAGTCATCCTTATCCAGTAGCCGTCTGATTGCCTATAACTCGCAAGATCTCTCTGTGAATGCTGCTGTCCTGCGTGTTGATGTTTGTGTCACCAACCTGCCCATCTTCATAACTGAAAGGCATCAAAGATTACTAGTGACTTATAATGAAAGGCAAATATTCTCAGCAGCAAAAGAAAATACACACACAGAAATTATATATATATTGGTAAACATAACTCCACTAATAAAATACACATTTGCTGTGCCTTAATCATCAGATCTGTTTATAAGGTTGCGTCATTAAGAAAGTGCCGATACTTACACAAAAAAAAATCTTGTACAGACATTATCTGTGTTGGGGACAACCCAGATATCACCGTGTTTGTCCAGATCAGGAGATGTAATGACTAAAGGAGAAAATCATAATGTCAGTACTAATCATGAACATTGAACCTGAGAATGTCCGCATGTTGACAGACTTACCTTCACACAATGCTATACACTTCAAATTTCGACTCTGCAAGAATTGTGGCTGCTGCCCCCTCTTCTGGGACTAGAAGGACGTCACAAAGGCAAATTAATTTTCAAATACTTAAAATTACCAATTTTATTACCAATCTCCTGATATTATTTAAACACATTTATAAAGTAAACAACGAAATTTCCACCTGCAGATTCATGTTTGTTTTGCTGTGTGACGTATTCTCATCCTTTGAAGAAACTTTCTGCTGCTTTTTGTTTATCCCTGTGAAATGTTATACAATAAATGAATCCATGACCTAACTGACCTGGGTAAAATGCATTACGTATTAAGCACCTTCAGAAAGCATGAAATCCGCGATTCTTACCTGAGTAGCCAAAGGAAATACTTGACATAGGGCTGACATAGATTCCACTCCCATAGATGGCGCCATGGAGCTGTAAATGTCGTATAACAACAGATAAAAATTCACCTTTAAAAGCTGTTCAAAATAAAATAAATCCTATAGGTACATTGATAGTTATATTTTAATACAAACTTGAATACATCCTAAGAAATAATTAACTACAGGCATGATTACTTTCAACATATGAAAATGATTATTTTTTAAATAAAATGGTGTTTTAATCCTTTAATCTGTTGGTTTCGCTAAATTTTAAGATATGATATCTAACATAAAGGTCAAGCAAATAAAGTTTAAATGCAGCAAAGAATATTATCACCTTGGTATAAAAATATTAGAACATACGCTTGTTTTGTAAAATGAATCAGAAGAGTATAATTTCAGAATGCTCTTTTGACCACAAACTGCTACCAATTCTTTCACTGAGATCCTATTAAATAATGTTCAGAGAACAAGCGGTTTGTTCATTCATCATCCTGCCTAAAACTGCCTTGGTTTTCATCATGCATGACTGCTGAATAAAAAGGAACAAAATTTGCTATTGTGGTGCTGTTCACCCATGAACCTGAGCCTTAAGCACACTGTCTGCCAAAGCTCAATGGACGTACTGTATACTTCCCAGGCCGGGGACAGCAATACTGAAGCATCGCTCTCATTATTAAATAACAAAATCATGCATATATCGTTTTCATTTGCTTATCATGTCTAATACTGATTTTTTTTTGATTTCCTAAATTCAAACAAAGCTACAGCCTAACAAATTCCTCAGATTTGTTTACGTATTTGGATCTGCAGAGACAGATGCACATATACAGGCATAAATGAAAATGCCAGTTGCACAGGCATTTTTGCCTCCAACAGTTATACATTTTCTTTACCTGAAGTCTTGTATTTGAGGCAACAACCAAACCGTTCCTCAGAATGGAATGCCAATTCTCTATGTGTGAGCCACTAAAGAAAGCAGATAAAGGGATACATACAGGACATAAAAACAGGTGAGAAACATGGGAAAAGGTCGTAAATCAGCTCGTTAAACAGCAAACTTATCATGGTCAATGTGCGGGGGGTTAATAATTCTTTGGACTGCAGGAGAAAACCTAAGCCATGCAGGGAGAATAAACTATGCAGGGGCAAATTTCAAAGCCCCAGTGCTGAATGTGGATGTCACCAAGCCGCCCAGCAACGAACTACAATAACTATAATTAAAGACTCAAAATTTCTGCTTTATGCCAAAATCACACAGAAGATTGCAGAAAACTACCATGTCTTAACAAAACCTAAAACAAAATATTAAATAGCTTTTTACAGTTGGCACATAATGAGCGTTTAAACATACTGGAAAGCGAAGGTACTCCCAAAAAGGTTTTTGGCAGCTCTGAAGTTGGATTCTTTGGCGGGCGGACTGCTGAGCAGGAGAAACTGGTGAGGGGTGTGCATGAACTTCAATTGCTGAGGGAAACAAAGACAATTAAAAAAACACCAACAAAACCAAGTCTGCTTTTCTTTCTGCTTCACAGCAGCAAAAGACGTGCTCCAAACCTATTCCTGACAAACAGAAAACTATGAATATTTACTGTTCTGGACTTAAAATGTAAAAAACTGATGAAAGTATCATTTCCAAATCTGACAGAAATCACACTCGCCTCCACTTACTGAACTGTTTTTCAAGACCTAATAAAATGTTTCAAATTCAGAAAATATAAGTGCACTTGTTTGCATCATTGACCAATTATATATAAAGTTTCTACGATTCTATCAAATATTTTATTAGAAATCTTTGTACAACGTGAAAATGTCTACTTGTCAACTATTTTTCAATGAATTAAATTAATATCCACAGCAACAGCACATTTTAATCTCAACCATAAAAAATATCACTTACTCTGTTTACTGGTAGTTTAACGATATGTGACCTGTTGCTGGATATTACCCTGTAGAAAAAAAACACCAATTATATCTGGACTAATTAAATGACATCACTTGCATTTAAACAGGATGAGGTGATTGAGGCCGGTGCTAAGGGAATCACAAGGGAAGACAACTGCATCTCTGTCAAGTCAAACTGAGACACTTACAAAGTCAAAAATAACTAATCACGTGATAGTTTTATAATTTATTTTTCTAATTAATTCACATTTTCTTACCAGTCCACTTGAACTTTAACACAAACACATTACACTAAAGCTCTGAATACACCATGACACACTGTATTCAGTCTTGTACCTATTAAACAGATGTTCTAGGTATATCTGTGATCAAAGACATTATCACATTCTGACATTTGTATCACAAATTTCACATTTGAAAGTATGTCACTGAACTAAAAATATGAATCAGACTGATTTAATAAAATGCAGTGCATATGCAATACAGTACATATTAATGTGGAGTTTCTTCTGCTTCATCCAAAAACAATGGCACCATTAAGCTGAATATTTCAAGATCAGAGTAAAGAAATTTGTATTCAGAATTTTAATCCAAAGCAGCTAACAACTGCAACCATTTTCTGGTGCAATTCAGGTTAAGTGCCTTCGCTCCAAAGTAATACAGCAAAGACCCTCCTGGGACTTCATCCAGCACCTCTCAAGATATAGACTTCTTCAACAGACACATTTTTCTTTGAGCAGACAGGGAATATTTATTTCAAAAACTCACAAAACACATACTTCATCCATTAGGATTAGCTGTGAAGTTGATATTTATTGCCCAGAACAGGAAAGTATTTGTAAATGAATTGGACCTTTCAGAGCCTAATACAGCACAAAAAAGTTTCATTCTCTTTTTCATCATTCTCTTCTAAATATAACACACTTTGACTGAAATAAATGCTGCTTATTTGCTCAAATTTGTGCATTCATTTGTCCCAGCTAAGTTTAGAATGAACAGCAAGAGTTCTTAGATTAAATTCCCAAGAAAAATATTAATATACAGATGCTTTTATCAGCCACTGGAGATGCAGAGGTGCAGTGTGGTATATCAAGAGTTATGTAACATAATCAATTAGACTTCTTAGTCAAATTACAAAGGCATTAAAAATAACTAAAAATGCTCATGTTAAACTAATTTCCATAAAGTATTGTCCATTGTAAGGTTTGCAGGAAAGGTAATTAGAAATCCACTGGTTAGTAGTTTCAGACCAGTGATATTTTGTGTGTGCGTGTGTGTGTGTGTGTATGGGCATGTGAGAGAGAGAGTGAGTGAATATATGAAATTTAATTTCTGCATTTCATTATTACTTTCATCTTGGTTAAGGGAACAAATTTAAATTAAATCATGCATCAATTTCATCAATGTAGTACATTATAAATAAATATAAATCAGTGAATTTCATCCATAGTTATGTGTAAATATATATTTGAATACGAGCAGCCTCAGTTCTCCATCACATAAAACATAAAGAAATATTACTCACCATTGCAGTAAGGGATGAGCAAGAGGGTCATGTTTGTCCATCTGCTTCTTTATTTCCAAATACGGTGCCTATGAAGGAAGAATTCAAAAATGCAAAACAATCAACATGAAAATAAATCACCATTCTGTAATGAACAAAGCTCAGTTGCTCTCCAAAGTTAGATTTCAGTTTGCTTGTTGAACAAGCTTTCGCTCCGTTTGGCTGCATCATAAGCATTTTAATTAAGTGTTTTTGTACTTCTAACACATTGCGTGGAAAGAGTATATAAAATCTTTCACTTTCTACTTGGGCCACATGAATAATTCGATTTCCCTGCCAATCAGGTGTCACAGACAAACTTCAAATGTTACACAAAACCTTACAGACAAGCACCATTCAGCTTTGTGGCCGTCTTCCATTACATAAACCAGGGGTTGTCATAGATCCGGATCCAGCCGATAATTGACCTTATGAATCAATAATGTTCATAACCAGTCTTTATGTTAAGTTCCCATAATTGTTATACATGTATATTGATGTTTATATTGAAAGATTGAATTCAATAAAATCCTTGAAATGTTTTGCTATTGAAAATGGTTCCGGACCTCTGACTTTAAACAAAAATCGAATATGGACCTATAACCTAAAAAGTTTGGGCATCTCCGATATTACTTTTATTCCATGAAACAAATTAATCCTCATATAGAATTTATTAAATCGCCATTATGCCACCTGGCAAACTTACTTGTGTCATTTCTCTGATTGATGCTATGCTGTCAAGGGCTTTCATCACTCGGTCATAGTCTTTTTTCTAAAAACATATAATATTATGAGCTTGTCCCAAACAACCAAGGAATGAAAGCAGTGTTATTATATTATCCCTAATTCAGAAATTACTATTTATTACACAAATGTAATTACATATTTTGCATATTTAAAGTATAGTTAATCACTTAAAAGTGCCGAACAACAGAAAGCATCACAAATTTGTGATGTTATGTAACATACCCGAGGGTTGAAGGCCAGTGACTGAGAATCGTTGGGATCAACCACTGATGGATAGGGTTCAAAAATGACGACCTTCCTTGGAGACTCCAGTGCAGATCGGCACATAGAGACCAGCAAATCCACCACCTGGTACACAGAGAATGAGCTAACAAATGAACGCCGTGGCTCATAACCCTTCTGCATGAGTACATGGCAAAGCTGAAGGCCACTAATTCACCGCAACATTACAAACCCATAAAAAGTCTCAGACATACTGTACATTGATCAAGGTTATTAGCGCTCATTGTTCAAAATATTCAGAGGATTACAATACCCGAGTTTATCAAGAAGCAAAATAGATATATCAACAATCATTTACAGAACTGGTAGTATTACAGTTGTACCACAGCCAAAAATTACTGTTTGAAACAGAAGCAATAGACGACCATGTCTCTTTTACATGAATCTCTTTTACTGCAAAAAGGCATTCTTCCCCAAAAGCCTGTTCAGAAACATGCCAAATACATACAATGTGCAGTACCTGAGCACCTGTGGCTATCTCATCTGCGGCTTCATTCATGACACCCAGCGTTTGAAAGGCAAACACACAGAGCTCTCGTTCACAAACTGTGGGCTGCAAAACAATGGCCACATACTGTTTGAGAACATCAGGACATGTGACTACACATATGCTCACACGTATGCACTTTTACAGGAGGCATGCACATGGATATTCATTTTGATAGCATACAGTGATCATCAACAACTAGTGCTTACTCTCAGTATTTTTTAAACATACTAATAATAAAATTACTAAATGAATCATTTCTAATTATTGCAATGCATACACTATAATGGCAAAAATGCAAGGGCTGGAGGAGAATTTTCTGAATTACATCTCCAGGTTTGTGGGCATCTCCAGCCAGAGCAGATGAAATAGTATTAACAAGTATTAACAAATTCTGTGTTGGTGTCAGACTCAAGATCTACATCAGCACCTACAACTGGTTTAGCAGGGATGGTAACGATCAGGTGAACACTGAGAGGACTGCTGACAGATCATGAAGTAAAATAGCTCCTGAAAATGCAGAGGTTTAACACCTTGCAGTGTAATATCCAGTGATGAGTAACAGAATTAGTATTGAAAGTTTTAAATATATACACAACAATGCAAAATAAATCACATTTCAAACATGTCTAATTTATAACTTTATCAGCGCTCAAAAAAATCTTTGTGAAGCCATGGAAAACAAATGAAATTCATACGCACAAACCATGTGCAGATTTCAGATTTGCTATCCTGTATGTGCGTGTGAAACAAAATCACCAGCTGACCCCAAAAATACTACATAACCAAATTATTTGTGTTCTCCCCAAAAATGAAATAATAAATATATTCAGTAATTCTCACAGGTAAGACTAATATATTACATTATTTTTGCTCATACTCATACTTTCACATAGAAAAAGTTACTAATCCATAACAATAATCAAACATTACTTCAATCACGCTGTATATGGAATGGGTATTACTGAACATTTTAGTCTACATTATGCACTTGGCTGAGCATTAGATTGATAGAAAGTGATTATATATTCATACAACTGACAGCAATGTGCTCATTGAAATATTTTTGTTGCTCTTTTTACAAAATCTACAATGAATTAAATAAGATACAACTGTATAAAATTATGTGAGCACTTACGTGGCTAACATGCTAAAATGACTCTACTAAATAGCTCTGACTTACTCTAAGCATTGGTCCATTCTGAAAGACATGAGGCTCGTCGCAGACCACACAGTACTCGTTAAGGACAGGTATCCTCTGCTCAGCATATTCCATGATCTGTAATTAATTCAATGACTCAATTTATTAAATAATTTCAGAAAAGTCAAAAAGTATAATCACATCAGGAAAAAACATAACAGAAGACTACCTGGACAAGAAATCCTCGATCTCTCACCGGGACTGATTTTGCGCCATAGTTTGGCTTGCAAGGACGAAAAAAAACGTGTCAATATCTTAATGCTTTAACCAGGTAAACGTTTGTACAGTTATTTCCAAATCTGTAAGATAATGCATCATATGAAAACAAGTTTAAAAAGTGCTTCAGACCAAGGAAGACAAGCAGCTCGGCTCCCATCCTCTCGACAAGCAACGCTGAACAACACAGAACAAACGAAGAAGTTATGAAGGTCGCTTCTTACCGTGGGCGGGGTGGATAGTGATGGGGCGAGGATGCCGATAAGTCCTGAGGTAAGAGAGAGCCGCCTGCCCTCGGGGACAGGCTCCTTAAAGAGGTCAGACTTGCCCATTTTGGTGTTGCTGGAGTAAGACCTGCTCAGCAGCTTGTGTTGCTTGAGGCCGTCGAGCTCCTCAGTCCGGATAGTGCTGGAGCAGGAGCGGCTGAGGAGCCGGTGGGGCTTCAGGACGCCGCCGTTGTGCTCGCAACGCTGCTCTCCCAGGCACGACCTGGGCAGCATCTTCTGAGACTTGAGAGAGGCACAGTCATCCGGCTTCACCGCCACGGAGCAGGGCCGGGTCAACAGTTTGTGGGGTTTAGGGATCAGGGGGTGCTCCACCCGCGGATCGCTGGACAGCGACCGTCCCAGGGGCTTGTGGGACTTGTTGGCACAGCCATCTTCGGCTTTCACCGTACTCGAGCAAGTCCGGCGCAACAGTTTATGCGACTTCGACACCCCGTCCTGCTCCGGTTTCAGCTTCTTCTTATTCTTTCCACACCCTGGAGGAGGGTAGCTTGGTGATCTACAAATCAAAAAGGGTGACAGATAAAAACCAGATTAGCTGATAGATTTCCTCCGCGGTTCCAGATTTGAAAAAAATCTGTGACCTCGTTTTAATGATACATATTATATTGATCAGCTCAGAGCTATTTATTTAAATATTTCGTAATCGTTACCTGCGGAGAGTTGAGAAAATGTGCAGGGGTGATTTCACTTTTTTATCACTCTGCTTTTTGCTGTGAGGGCAGTTTAATTTATCCTTACTGTGAGATTTCCATTGTTGTGTGACAAATGTCTGCATGATCCTGGAAGGAATAAACAAGCACATTCATCATTATGTTTAACCTCTTTTGTTAAGTTGTTAAAACAGCTTCTGAATTTTTTTTAGAACAAAGCAAAAATATCAGAGGAACAATGAAGTGATATAAATTTAGTAAATAATACTTTTATTAATAGTAAGTGCAGATAAGACAAGGCAAATAGTCATTCATAATGCTAATGTATTTTATTCTGCATTTAACTTCTGAACAAACATACTTTTTCAGTTGGTGTCCAAGTCCAAACCGATTTTTTGTCGATACTTGAAATACATCAACAGTCGGAACTGAAAAACACAAAGTTAATTAACCTCATGTGAAGGGAAAAAACAAAGTGCTCTGATTCAAAGTGATCTGTAACGTCTGATAGTTCACACAGTCATTTTGTTAACGTCTACTGTCAACTACTGCTACTAATTATGGCTGGTATACATTCTCTTCACTTATTAGATAATTTGACTGAGATGAACATGTTTATTAGAATTGAATGCCTTAGTACTTAGCAACGCCTTCGGGCAAAACTACATCAAAAATGTTAAATTTCTTCACCTGGCCCATTTAGATACTGTGTGAGTGAACAATGGAGGCGCACAATAACTGGTTCTGTCCTGATCACATCCCATGCAACAGCAATTTCCTCCTGGGGGGAAAAGAAAATACCCCTTGCAATTTTCTGTGTACAATTTCATGCATACACGCTAGACAGCCTGAACATACTACAACTATCTAACTAAGAGAAAGGTAAACTGGATGAACAGTTATAAGACAATGGGTAGACTTATGTTTTTAGAAAATTTTGTGTTTTGAATTACTTACGTCAAGGAAACTGACGTCGATGTGCAAATCTATATCGACGTCATCGATTGCACCATATTCCCTGAAAAACATAATAGGAACAGAAATTTCACTTCGATTGTGCATCTAAAGGCAGTTGTATTATGGACTGGAGGTCCACACGTTGGTGACCACTGCTCTATACAAAACATTTCCACTTTTGGATGGCCTTCAGTACGTCAGTAGGGGCCCATCGCGGTGTGGCTCTGCAAAATTGACAAAGGGACATTTAACCAAGTGCCCCTTTAGATAACTCAACAAATTGAATCACAACAAATTAACTGAACTCCCCACCCCCTCTTGTGAGTCCTCTCCTCCACCCCTGGCCTTCAACAGACCATGCCACATCATTTCAATGGAATTGTGGCAAGTTCTCTGACTAGGCCACTCCGAAATAGAAAATTCCATCCGTTTGAGACATTCTGTTGTAGGATTTAATCCTACATTTTGGATCATTGTCATTTTTCATGATCTAACTTCTTTTGAGTTGTGATTTGAAGAAGCATAATGAGTTATATATATAATAATAAGGGTGTGAAATGGGAAAATATTTAAAGGGCCTGTGTAGGTGTAGTGAAAATGGCAGTATTGCCAAAAATACAGGTCATGAAATCAGCTGAGCTTGCACAGAAGGGGTCAATAAAAGGACAGAATGAATGGACTATGCAAACTGTCTTGATGTCTCAAGAGAATAGATTATATTGTAGCATAATCAATTCAAAGAGGAAGGAAAAGCTAAGGACCTGTATAGAGGTTAGAAGTTGAGCACACATACACCCATCCATCCATCCATCCATTGTCCAACCTGCTTATCCTACTGGGTCGTGGGAGGTCTATCCCGGAAGCAATGGGCATGAGGCAGGGAACAACCCTGGATGGGGGCCCAGCCCATCGCAGGGCACACTCACACACCATTCAGTCACACATGCACACCTATGGGCAATTCAGCAATGCCAATTAGCCTCAGCATGTCTTTGGACTGTGGGGGGAAACCGGAGTACCTGGAGGAAACCCCACAACACGGGAAGAACATGCAAACTCCACACACGTGTCACTCGAACCCAGGTCCCAGAGGTGCGAGGCAACAGTGCTAACCACTGCACCACCATGCCGCCCCCTGCACACATACACACCTGAGCTTAGTCATGAATAATTTAAATAAATAAAATGAGGTTTGTTGCTAAAAAAAGAGAGGGAATCAAGTTTGTTAACCAGTCAGACTATACTAGAGCGACCAAGGAAACTCAGGATTAGCACATCATTGGGAATGTATGAAACTCGCAACCTCCAGCAAATGGCCGAGCCACCCTGAGAGAGAAATCTTAGGTGTGACTCCCTTTGCACGCAAAGTAAAGACACTCTCTTCCTGCCAGGTGAATGTTTGTATTGTTAATCTGTTGAGGTCCAACTTCTTCCAACCACATCCTCAATGATTGCACGCCGCCCAGGCCCTGAGGCAATGAAGAAGCCCCAAACTGTTACACTCTCTTCAGCACACCTCACAACTGTGTTTTGGTGTTGACAGCGGTATGCTATTTTCTCTAAAAGTAACACAGTACAGGTTATGTTCAACTTTTGTTTTATCTGATTTAACACAGTGCTGCAGAACATCCAGGTGGTCTTACGAAAACAGACGTTTTAAAATGCAAGAGATGCATACAGATAGTTAGCTGTCAGCCAAGGGATCTTTGTGGATTGGTGGTGTGCCCTTGCCCTGCTGTTTGTAGGATGTCCACCATTAGATAATGTAACAGTGCTGAATTTCTTCCATTTATAAATGATCTGCCTAACTGTGAACTGATGGAAGCGCATGTCTTTAGAAATCATTTTGTAACCATTTACTTTCTTAATCACTTAAACAACTCTTCTTTCTTCTGAAATCTCCTTTGATTTGCCTCTATTGCACTTGAAAAAAATTCAGATGTGCTGAACAGGCAATGGAAATTGTGTTTTACACATATATGGAAGGCAGGTCAAACCCCCTCCGGAACTGATCAGAGTAGTTGACTCAAATTAGCCACTTACCAAGTGGTCATTATACTACAGGCTGACATAGTTCTTACAGCAATGACCTTGATTATTTGAGCCATTTGTTCTTATAGGTACAGCAATGTAAAAGATGTGTATGTAATTATTATGACTTTTTATGAAGATTATATTACAATTGGGTTGTCATATATACAGAAATCCAGAGACTTCCAAATAGGGGTGTGTAATCTGACGATATTAGATTATGAATGATTCAAATATCTCCACAATCTGCCTTTACAGAGAGATCATTAGTATCATGCTACAGTGCTCATTCTATCAGTTGCAGTTCAATGGCTCATAGGCACATCTAAAGTTGTTCTGTCAACCGAATCCATTATGAAGTAGTGCTTAGGTTTCTTCCTCTTTCCCTTTCACGCCCCCCGTCCCAACATGCTATGGGCAACATGCAACACATTCCCTTGGAAAAGTTGGTCCCTAAAAAAAATTTGACATTGGTAATATGAAACTTGTTTGGATTTTCCAAAACCAGCATGGCGCAAACAGGTATTTGCAAAGATAAGGTTGGCACATTGGATGGCAATACAACAAACCTTTTTCACCACCTCAAAAGAAAACATCTGAAAGCATATACTGAGTATATATATATTTTTTTATCTTATAGGGCTATATTTTTTAAAACAGGGGAATAATTATGGTTGTATTGTTAAGTAACTGGCAAAATATTCTTAAAAACAAACATGTAAAAGAATTGTGATAAGTCCGCGGATCACGATCATGCCTGGAAAAAATCGTGATATGATATTATTGCCAAACCGCCCACCTCTACTTCCATCAAATATTTCTGAGAAACGTCCGACTCTGGTAGTGCATCTTGCACTTGTTGAACAGTAATGGTCTTTCAGTTTTTATTACAAATATCTTTAGTACAGCACCCCTTATGCAAACACTAATCACCTTTATCATCCATTGTTGTGATAAACAAAAAATGTAATTGAAATAAGATAAGAAATCAAAATAAGCCTGTTCAAATAAAGCAGCACAATACAGCCAATAAGACTCCACATAAAGCGTCTCATGTTGCCTGATTAATTACCCACTGGACTCTCTGAGGCAGTGAATGGCATCTGCAGCGGTTAGTTGCTTGGGCTTTTTGCCGAGCTGTGTGAGTGAGAATGTGCGTAGTCATATTGCTTAATGAAATGCTTCTTCAGCTTTCAGCCAGAACTGTGCTTTAGCATGATGTGATGACAGTAAAATCTTCTGGTACTCCACAGCAAGACCTTACTGCTGAATCCAACGCAGCACGGATGTGCAGTAAATTAGCAAGCTAAATAATGAGGAAAGTTGCTTTCGACAGCAACATTTTTATTACATTTTGATTAAATAAGCTCATTTAGATGCACTTAGATGCCTAGTTTTCAACACTTAAGCAAGACTTCTCTATCATTCATTCATTCATCCATCCATTTATTTTGTAAAACCACTGGTCCTATACAGGGTCGGGGGGGGTGATGTTCAGACGGGGAACAACCCAGGATGGGGCACCAACCCATTGCAGGGCATACTCACACACCATACACTCACACATGCATACCTACGGACAATTTGGCAACTTCGATTAGCCTCAGCATGTTTTTGGACTATGATAGGAAACCAGAGTACCTAGAGGAAACCCCATGAACATGCAAACTAAACGCACGTGGAGGTATGGCAGAGACTCGAATCCTGGTCCCAGAGGTGCCAGGCAACAGTCCTATCTACTGCGTCACTGTGCCACCCTGACGTCTCTATCTAAGGTCTCAATTGCAGGTTGTTACGTGATTAGTATTTATGCAGTTTTTCTCCTAAAGAATTAAAAGTGTCAGCACAAGCTTTGACTCAACTCGAGGGCTTGCAGACACAGTTCAGTGCTTTTTATAAAAATCACAAACACAGCGTTATAATACAGCCCACCAAAGTGTGTGCGAGAAGAAAAAAATGGAAAATTCATTTGGCTTTTTCCACACGCATAACAAGAACTGGAGCCACCACAGTTTAACAGCGCTAAACATCTGGATGCTTAACAGACCATCACATGCTCATTGGACTGTTTACAGCAAGAGCACCAGTAATGTACGGCCAATGGCAGATTCCTCAAAAAAGGGCGTCACTGTGAGCTCTGAGGATAAAGGACCTTTCATCTTCATTCCACTTAATTACTGCTATGGTTTGTAATCTCATTGGCAAAGGAACCAGCAAATCCTGTGTGAATTCCCTAAAGAGGCAATAGGGTCGATGGAGTTTTGCTGGAGCGGAGCCCTCTCGGCCACAACATAGCTGGAGGTATTTATTTTTGAAAAAGGATCATAATAATGGATTTTGTCCCTGACAGCTGTGAACAAAATACATGCATAGGACATCACCACAGAACTGCCAAATGGTATCTACACTGCTTATGCTTATCAATTATGCTACAGACACATGATGAGGCTTCCACCTAACAGATGTGAAATTAAAATGCAGCTTCTATTTTCAAATATATGACTGCCATTTGCACCCTTTATTGATTTCTAACATAAAAGGTCTGATCATTCTTTTGCAGACATATTCCGGGTTTTCATGCCTGTGTATTAAGTTTCCTATATAACATAGTATGTCACCATGTGAGGCCCTAGCAGTGATCTCTGAATGATTAAAACACTCATTCTGAGATTTATGGTGATCAGTGAGGGCTGGTCTGCGAGTGTCTGTTGAAATGCATGCGAGTATAAACCGAGATGATAAACGGGGATAAGCAAAATCAGAAGAACAAGGAAATACAGCGTGCTGTGACACCAGCTCCAAATCAGAAAAAGACACTTTAAATAACTATAATTAAGAAGCCCTACACATTAAATTATTTTGAGACATCAGAACTGAGGGCTTGTCAGTATGTAAAAAGGTTGAGCTGTCAAGCCGGCTATCAGACATAATTTAAAGGTAATATGTCTTCTTGTCAACAACACCAGAGAAGTCTATACTGACACATAAATTATGGCTGTTTTTTCATGTTTTTTCATTGGATAAACCTACAGTGTACACGATATATATAATTTTAATCAAAAGAGCTTGTATGACATCTGCAGAACACATTTCTGAAGAGAAAACTTATCAGTTCGACGCGGTACAGGCCTCTGTTAAGCAATTGTTCTCTAGTTGGTAAATTAGGAAATCAGACATTACCCAAGTGACTGGACGTCACCTGAGACAGTATGAAAGTACACTTACCTGAGAGATACTGCATGAGGCCCGTAAAACTCTCGCACTGCTGCCAGGTCAGCCTCAAGCTGTGGGTGTTTGTGCAGCTCTCCATCATAGTTCACCTGTAAAGTGCACACACATTCATTTACATTTGCATATATTCTAATTTAACTATTTCATCATTTGAACCTATTAACATAATCCTTGACATGATAATCAAGGGTAAGTTTAATAAATGGTTCAATGACTTCTCCTGATCAGACTTCAATTTATTATGCTAAGATGAAATTGTTTCCTATACCTATCCTGAAATGGTACTACTACGACTACTACTACTACTAATAATAATAATAATAATAAAGAAGTATCACAAAAATAACCACCTTCAACTATCTTTTTACTAGACTGGTCAGGGTGACATGTCTATGTAGTGATGCATATGGCATCAACATAAGGGGACAACTCCTTTATTGGTGAGTGACACTTCAGGAGGCACAAGAAGCTTAGTAACTCACATTCTACACAAGTACAAATCATTAACAAATATACTAACTGCATACATGAACCACTATGACTGATTAATGATGAATGAACACGGGATCGGTATTTGACTAACACTAGTTAATAAATACATTAAGTTAGAGTGTACTACTACATTATTTGTTCCCCCTCAAGTAAATGTTAGCCTTTAATTTTTCAACTCATGAAAGACAGGCATGATTTCACCAACTCACCTGGCCACCGTAGTAGAACTCCTCCGAGTCATTATCTCCCTCGGAATCTTCCTCTACGGCATTGCTGAACTACGAAACACACAGATGACTTACTGTTTAATTCCAGAATTTTAAAGCAAAATCTCCATAACTGTAAACACAACTCTCCCCAACATTAAGGATGAAACACATGCTAATAAATGTTTTAAACTTTCTGCCTTTTCTAGTTAACAAGCCATTTTTGGGGATACATTATATAAAGTATTATAACATGTAAGGATCAAGGTATGTATGCAAGGATTCCCACAGGATATTTTCTTCGGTACTGAAAAAATTCTATCATTAAAAAGCAAAAAAAATTACGTATTGTAAGACATATTATGAAATAACACCAAATCATGTAATAACAAAATGTGACAAATTTTCATTACATAATGCTGTTATTACATAATGCATTGCTACAGTGTTACAACACATTATGTAACAATAATACATTGCGTAAGAGCTCAGATTATAAGAAATGTATAGCCTACATTATAATTTTATACTGCACTATTAACCTATTATTATTTTTATTACTGTTATTATAATTAATATTATTATTATTACTACTACTACACTGTCCAAAAAAAGCATCAGCGTGTTTTTGTGATCCATTTCGGGTGACTTCTGTGTCAGGAGTGTGTCAGAATAGCAGGCAAATAAAGAACGACATAGAAAATAACGAGTGGGTCAGATCACTTCTTAATTTATGAATGAGGTTACGAACTACTTTAGTTACAAAGGGTTTTGAGAAACACTCACTTATCAACAAATGATCTTAAGCACAAGGTAGCAAACTACTTAGTATTACAAATCTTTTCGGAAATGCACCCTTGGAAACTTTAATCTAAATTTAAATAAAATAAATAAATTTTAATAAAATTGGTTACATTTTCGAGTTATTACATAATGCCCATGTTATTACATAATGTGCATGTTATTACAAAATGCATTATTACACATATTTATAACGATTACTCAAAATGATGGTTCCCACATTAAAGAGAAAATATAGGGCAGGTGTCAAGTGTAATTCTGGGGAAAATATTACCTGGTTCTTGTCTATTTGAAGTCTGGATTTGAAGGACAGGCAGCTTGTGGCGTCACAGTTATTCCTAATTTCTAGTGAGAATAAATGTGATGGATCACCTTGAGTAAGCTATAGAAGCACAGAATTCATTCTATCTAATTATATCCACTTTATAACCACATTAAATATACCTACTTACAGTATATCTACAAGAAAGATTTAGTTTATTATATCTGAGATTTAGAGCCACATATTAATTCCTAAGATCTGCATTATTCATTAAAGAAACATAATTTAAAAAGTTAAAAATATATCTATGCCTAGCTTCCAATCTAGTCAGCAAAACGGGGTATAAGCATCTGATGTAATAATTTACCTGTTGCTATCCTGTGAAAAATGACAGGAATGGGATCTCTTGTAACTAGAACGTCGTCATCATTCTCAGAATTAGACACATATGTATTGTCTGAGGGGAAAATGAACAGGGAATTAAACAGTTATTTGACACGTGTAACTAGAAAATATTTCCCTGCCACAAAGTGAAAACTGAAGTGAAAGTATTTCCTAACAACACAGAAAGCCATGCTCAACTTCTATAACAGTTAACAATAAAGTTAAAAAGTGATCATTTAAAATTGCTAAATAATGTAAGCAAACTTTTAATATCTATAGTATCAAGAAATATGAATCCTAGTTGGTCTTCTTAATAGTCAATATCAGAGAAAGTAATACCAAAAAAAATTACATTTTTTTTAACACCAGAAAATGCACAAGATGTTTACAGGAGAAACAGGTGCTGTCCAGTGAGGGTGATGGGTTGTGTGGGCTGAAGGTGTGTTTAGAGGGCTCCATGGAGGCAACTACTGTAATGCAGCTCCAGTAGAAGGCTGGCCATTCAGTGATTCCTCAGCTGGGTATGGGTGTGTATGCTGCCCAGCAAGGGGCAACAACAGCCTTGCCACGAGCTGCAGGGGGAAGTTGGATCTGAGGTTTTCAGTCAGGCGATCCAGTTCCTCCAGTCGATGAACTTTGCTACTTTGCTTGTTAGTTTGTTCATGTACATGTGCCTGATGCACCCATAAGGTGACTAAAATCTATGCAATCTGTTAGCTTCAGTCATCATCTGACCAGCAGCAGAATCGAAGTCTGTTGGGAATGACTGGCCTGAATTAGCTGCCTCCTTTGCCAGCATGAAAAATGGAGCATTGGAACTCCACACATCTCTCAGGTTTCATAATGTCTCCACCCTTTGTCTTCATTGCTGGTCAGTCAAAAGTTACCTTTAGCTGGGTCATTAGGCCACCATCCACCTCAGGAGAACAAGTCAGGCCACAATGGGAGTATTACTTTAAATTTCTTTCACTTGAACCTTTCTCGTTCTATGGCTATTTATAAGGGAACTTGTATTTTGTTCTTTAAAATATCTCTAGAATATATAATGAAAATAGAGTTATCATAGTAATGTTTGCCTAATCTACATTAACTATCACTAACCATAGGTGGTTCTAGACCCTATTTAGAGGGACTTCAGCCCCCTATTTTTGGTCTCTGCCCCCCGAAGAACAGTTTTTCCAAAACGATTCAGCAATTTGTTCTGTATTTTCATACACATTTCGTACCCCCAGCTCGGCAAACTTTATTGTGGAGATCCCCCTCCTCCCAGAAAATTTAATCAGGGGGGTGGGGGGGAGCAGCATCCTGTATCTCTTCAAGGTGCTGAGCCCCCCAAAAGGGATAATCCTAGAATCGCTCTCGTCACTAACCAAACGAATGAAAGGATTTACAGACATGAACTGTGGGAGATAAGGTAGGAACACCCCAAGCAGCATCTTCAGCGTTCCGGCACACTAAGACGTCGCACGTTGACTTTAATTCGTAATGTATTATAACAAACATAACGTAGTCCAGTGTGTTTGTGGGTAAGGAAGAGTGTGCTGGCCACCTAAACAGTAGTACCTCTTTCAGAAATGCTCAGTTACCTGCAAGTTACAGTCCTGCCCCCATTATTGACCTCTACATGCATTCAGACATACTGTATGGTTCGAAACACATATATACAACATAATATTGTTCATTAAGTCATGCTTTCCAAAATGACTTTAAATAAGCTCAAAATTATAATAAGTTTACCCGCCTAACAAAGTTTGCAACATGAACCTATGTACAATAGTTTTCTCTCTTCACAAGCAAAATCTCACAGAACTATAGAAAAGTTGTTTTGCAGATATGATTTGTTTGAATCAACTTTCAACTCCATTCCTTTTTACAAACTTGAGCCAGTTTCCTTGGGATACATGATAAAATCTCTTGTGACTGAATATCACCCATCACAATTAAAAACACAAAATGGGAAGTTGTAGGTTGTGCGATGGAATTAGCATAAGTCAAGGTGACTTTTCATTTTTTAACCAGAAGAGCTGAAGACATGACCTGCTTTACCATGCTGTTCATAGCAAGAGACAAAGACTTTCTTCTCCACAGGAGAAGAAAAGAAGGTGGTTCCGGTTCACTGGGGACAACGCAGAGGAAATTGTACAGAATCTCTTTATCGGTTCACGTAATGTGCACTCTCGTTGACTGAAGAAGGCCACAGTAACGATGCACTTCAACATTATGTCTGGTAAGGCACAAGTACGAAAATGTACTTCTTTCCTAATGACATGAAACAATAAAATATAGTATATTCTGGAAAACATGAATACATACCCATCTTCATGGGCTTGGATTGAACTAAATCACACATATAGGCAAATTTTCTAGACTCTTTGTAGACTACATGTGGTTTAACTGACAATCTCCAAAGCCTTAATAACAGTAATTCCAAAACAAAAAACATACAAACAACTTCAATACTAGCAAAGTTAACCCTTCAGAAGTATAAGGAGACAGTGCAACCCATGGAGCCACAATGCCATCCCTACGTAAGAATTTTAAAATGTATATTTTTGGAACTATGTTGCTTGGTTATTATGAGTTACCGAGCACTGGGCAATAAATATTAAAAGCAATTGTAATAGTTGATATTTAATTAATATAATTTAATAAAGGGCAGAAACAAATGTACAAGATTTTTCTATATGGTATATTTGAGTCCTTTTGAAATATTTTACCAATAGATGCAAAGACAAAGCTGGTTTTGCTGTACACAGCAAACACACTCAGGAGGACTCCATAAAGTTGTGCAGTATTTCACAGACACTGCATAAAATGATGACTAGACCAGAGACAAAATTTACATAATTGCACCCAAGTCAGGTTGCTGTCCTTTTTCCATCACCAGCTTCCACAATTCTGGTACTAAGCTGAAGATTCAAGAAGCTGCAGTTATTTAAAATTATTTATCAACTTAAAGCTGACAGAGAAGAAATAGCTAAAGACAATTTATTAAAGCTTATCTGATCAGGACGGAAATCGAATGACAACTGGTCCTAGTCAATGACACTAGGGAAATGCACTTCAAAATTCCTTCTCAGTCCTTCTAAAAGTGCAACTGTAATAATAATAATAAACAATAATAAATTAATTTATTACACATCAAAATATACTTGTAATATCCATGTACTACAGTCACCCAGGTAAATTCATAAAAGTACTTCTGTGTATAAGCAGCATATTTACTCGGTTCAAAGAATCCAAATGTAACTCACAAATATCAAGATCAATTGGAGTGACACCCAAGCTTAAAGGCAGTGCAGTCCACATTTATCCATATCGAATTTTAAGAGAAGAGCTGATTCAGAGATATAGCGATGATCTGTCAGAGCTGAAACTCCAAACACAGGTACAGCCAAAATTTCCCACTGCCTCAAATTAAAAACTATTAGTATAGCAATGCTAACCACCCTGTCACCTCACGTTATTTCTGTGACCAGTCAAACAAGTAGAAATTTCCTCATCATATGGATACCTGTTGCCAAAGGTAATATACCGAGATGCCAGTCCATCACAGAACTTAACTACAGCTATCCATCTATCCATTTTTGGGATCCTCTTTGTCCTATTTAGGGTGGTGGGGGTCTGGAGCCTATCCCAGAAGGCAGAGAATAATCCAGGCCAGGACACCAACTCATCACAGAGTACACACACAGAATTTTGTAATAATATTAACGTAATAGTAATTAATGTAATAGTATTCACACACACGTACACCTATTTGCAATTTGGAATCTCCAGTTAACCTCAGCACGCTTTTGGACTATGATAGGAAACCAGAGTACCTAGAGGAAACCCCATGAACATGCAAACTAAACGCACGTGGAGGTATGGCAGAGACTCGAATCCTGNATTAATGTAATAGTATTCACACACACGTACACCTATTTGCAATTTGGAATCTCCAGTTAACCTCAGCACGCTTTTGGACTATGATAGGAAACCAGTGTACCCAGAAGAAACCCCATCATGACACGGGGAGAACATGCAAACTACACACACAGAGCCATGGCAGAGACACAAACCCTGACCCCAGAAGGGAGAGCCAACAGTGCCGTCCCCTCCAATCAGTCATGTGGATTTCAATTTAATATTCAGTTGGAGCATCAGTAGTTGTGAAGTATAAGGAATCATATGGCTCAAGCATAAGATTCTCAACTCGAGATTTTCAACTTTCCATCACTGACAATATTTCAACAAAAATTCTATCAAATTAAAACCAAAATCTAATTCACAAGCTTGCATAAAAGATACGCCTGTACAATCACATGCTACCTGTTCAATACATTCTACTTGTACACATTTGCCTCAAGCTAGATCAAGCCGAGTATCCAGCTTTTTTCAAAAAATTATTTCCCTCCATCTCAGGTCTCAATTTACCTCTGTGTTACAGTCTTCTTACATCATTTGAATGTGACAGTGCTTTTGTTGTCCCACTCCGGTCTGTAGTCGCATACTGCCCTTCTCCTTGCCACTCCTCTGTCACTTGAGTGTCTTTCTAAAAGGCCGCCCAATCCACTTTAACTCTTCACTAGAAGTATCCAGCAGTACTGTCCTCTGATGTCGCCCCTGCACTTGTGGCTCCTGATCAGCAGCCTCGTACTGCTGGCTTGCTTGGGTACTCTGAACAGTGCTTGGGTATTGGGTACTCTGAACAGTGCTTGAGTACTCTGAACAGTCCTTGGGTACTTTGAACAGTCCTTGGGTACTCTGAACAGTGCTTGGGTACTCTGAACAGTGCTTGGGTACTCTGAACAGTGCTTGGGTACTCTGACCAGCTTCCTGCCTGCCACACAGACCAGCTTTTTCCAGCCTGCCGTCATTTCCCCCTTTTCCTGTTTCCTTTCTCCTGTCCCCGATGCCTGCTGCCCTGTCGTCTATAACAAACAGATCGTGTTCAGCAGTTCGAGTCTCATTTCGTTCCCCTTGTTTTATCTGAAGTTAGAGTCACTCTTCTCACCTTTACACGCTCAAGTACACAATCCAGCTTTACCTCAATTTACCTCATTTGTACTCTTTCCTTTACAGCACTAAAGATCAGTGTGGTTGCCCTATTCTGCTTATCAAAGGCCAAGAAAAAGCAGGCAATTTTTTCCTATTACCTATGTTGTTGTAATTATTGTGTGAAGCACACTGCAGATCAACATGGCCGAGAGCATTGTTTATTGCATGCCAGTCCCATTTGTTGTAGGAAACAGCAACCTTATCAAGATGACCAAGTGTAAATAGTGTTTGTATCAAACATTACACATCAACTGAATTGTATTCAATCTTCTAGTAGTAAGTCACCTTCCACAGCAGTAATTAGTAGCATATTCCACTAAAAAAACTACATCTATACAGAATATTGATACTAACACATTTATTATCAACTTCAAACTGTTCTCATCCTAAAATTACTCAAAACAGTGGATGGCTTTAGTTCCACCATCACAAATTAATTTTACTTTATCTTAGTTGCTTACTAGATGCCTTTATACAAAGCTATCTGCAGAACTCTTATACTTAATTAATTTGTACAGCTGGAAATTTTTAATGAAGCAATTTGGATTAATTATCAATGGTAAAACAGCAGGACCCTCCTGGGACTTCCTCAGATAACCTTTTAATTAAAAGTCCACTACACTCAAAGGAATTGTGAGTTATCAAGTATAATTTTTCAGGGGACGATAATTTGATGAAACAATTACACTACTCAAAAAGTAAGTGCATTAGAATAAAACTGGTCAGTTAAAATCAACAATTTGAAACTAGAATTTTTACAATTTTAAAAGAGCATAATAATAACAAAATAAATTTCTTCATGAAAACACCTGCTGGCTGACTAACGCAGACTGACATTGGGTAAACTCACAAAAGTCACATGACAGATTAAAAATATCACATCATTCACAGTAGTGTACAATTCACAAAGGTGAGAAAAATATCACAAAGTACTGGGGTGTGAGTCTGATAAAAACCCTACAATCACCGATTTACAATCATATTTCCTAATATGCAGATAGCATTAACCGCTCAAATCAACACAGCCCCCATCTCTATCACATGAAATTCATGATACCCTGTGAATTATGCATCACAGTCATAAGCGCAGACACTGAAACAGATGGCACTGTCACCATACAATGTTTTTCTGCACTGTGATATCCAACAGCGCTGCACGTAACACCAAATCATGTAGAAAAGCTTACACGGGTTCATTGTTTACTGACAATATATCCTAAATACACTGCTTTTTCAATATGGATCAGAAGCACACTTACAAATAAAAATAAGCATAAATACAAAACAACATAAGCATCTCTCTTTATATCTATCACCAGGACTGCAAAAAAAATGCACACGTGCCTATGAGGCCGATTTCATTTGCTGTTATATGCAAAGCAGGCGAAACTTGATGCAGATATTCCAGTAAAAAAAGAGGGAGCAAGAAATCTAATAATGATGTTTCATCAAGCCATGATGTTAAGAAGGTTCATTAATGTTAGTCAAGACATTCAGAAGGACTGAAGATTTTTTTCATTATGCTAATTAAGCTATTGTTAGTCTACTAACTAGCAATTAGATATAAAATATAAAATACAAAAAAATGCAGACACAATTTTCACGGTTAGCAGAAGTAATATCATAAACTTTAACCAACTTTATTTTACTATAATGACGCTAAATAATACAAAATAAAATGTTGAACTGTAGACAAATGGAAAGCGAGATTTATTACAATTCCACTGGAGTGAAGGAATAAAGGAAAGCGATGCTTCGGAAAACATCTCACCTGGGTAATCTTCAGAGACGTGCACCGAATATGAAACCCTAAGGAAGGAAAAGGAGATCAAAGATTAGGAATTCGTTTGTGCTTCAGAATAAAATGGCTAGAATTCAATACAGCAAAATATCCTAGCAAGGAATAAAGTAAAAAAAAGGCATTCATGGAAATATCCATTAAATCAATATCCATTATGAGTATGCCTAGAAAGAAATTACAGCTGGGAATTTCCACACCATACAAAGGACTGGCAAACAATGAAAGACAGCAACACAAGAAATTTATTATAATATAATATAATATAATATAATATAATATAATATAATATAATATAATTAATATAATATAATATAATATAATATAATATGCTCCGATTTATTAGGCCAACCTGCTTGTTAACACAAAGACCCTGTTCCTCCAAACAGTGAATCATGTAGCAACAGGATCAAAAGATTGAGTTACTGTTAGACTAAGCGTAACAATGGGCATGACACATGATCTAAGCGATTTTGAACAAGTTATGATAGCTGGTACCAGATTTCAGAACGTTAGAAACAGCCTCCCTTCTGAGACTAATGCACTATACTGTGTCTAGAGTTTCCAGAGACAAAAAAACATCTAGTCAGTAACAGTTCTGAGGGTAAAAATACTGCTAGTGAGACAGATTACAGGAGAATGGCCATAATTAAAGCAAACAGGAAGCTTCAATGACTGCAAAAGTGACACCTTCGGTACAATAGTGCTGTGAAGAAAGGCACGTCAGGACAAGTCACTGAAGTCAGTGAATCCTGCAGTTCTAGAGAAAAAACGTGGCCCTACTAGGGATGACACGATACACAAACCCGACACTTTGGTACAGACCTCCATTTTGGATTCACAGTTCGGTGCAATTTTATTAGAACTGCAAACAAAACACAATTAGGAACAGATGCAAACCAAAGGCAATGTGTCTGTTGTCTGGTAACAAAACTTGAGATACTTATTTGCACATTGTAAAAATAAATTTTAGGGCTGTCAAAAGTTTACGCATTAACGTTTGCGATTAATTTGAAAAGAATACTGCACAGCCTATTGCGGAGCCCCTTTTGAGGACAATCAGGACAATGCGTTTAACGACTTTTATGGACCACATTGTTTATCTGCTGCTGTCATTTTTTTGGACTTTTGAGGCTATCAAAGTCATTTCAAATCAATTTCATCCTTAAAGGTATTCATAAGTAGATTAAAAAACATAAGTAAATAGAAACATCCTTGTCAATTTTGCCACTTCTTTAATTCATTTTTAGAAATGCAAATTACACACACATTTTGGTCTAAAATCCATGTAAAGATTACAGTGGCAGCTGGTGATTAAAATGTTTGGGGGGGGGGCACAATTTTTGGGGAGACAAACAAACTGAAGCACTAATGCTGGCGGTGGAACAAATCTGACAGACGGGCTCAAGATTTTCATGTGGGGGGGCATGGATGTAGAGCTGTACGATACAGACCAAAAAACATACATACATACATACATACATACATACATACATGAATAAACACACATATATTATTATAGCACATTGATTCAGTTTTGGCTGTGACAAATATTGAGGTATTCTGTTATTGATGATGTATTTGCTTCTATGTGCTTATATCTAAATTCTGTAGTGATTGTTTTACTGTCTGTCTGTCACATTGATGTGAATTACACAGGCACAAAAAAATGCAAAACTCCTTCTTCTGATTTTCCTCTAAATTGTTTGAGAAAACTTAGGCTTCAGAATGTAGCAGCAACATCATTCTAATTCCTAAGAACATCACCAGGGAATAGAATATTTACCCTAGGCACTGCGATGTGCAGCACTAGTTTCATGCTAGAAGTACGTCATCTGCATAGAGAAATGAACTATAGTTGCTCTAAGTTACAAAAATGTAGGCCCTTCTGTGAACAGTCCTGGTTAACACTTCAAAGGGTAATTAGTTCCTGGCAATCTATTAAGGTCTGGCTTTCACAGCTCAGATATTACTCACACCCAGCTGTTGTCCATTTATGTCCTTTTTGAATCACTATTAAAATTAAACTTCTTTCCCAGTGTTGATTTACCTATGACCCTTATTTCTATATGCTAATATGATCTCCTCCCTCAGTCATTTCTGATGAAGGCTTCAGATAAAGACTGGTTTAGAGCTTGTCATCCGATTGTTGCAAAATCAATTTCTCTCCTGCTGAAATATTCTATCGTTGTTTGTCACAGTGACATTCTCTTTATACACCGCACAAGAAATAAATGAGCACTACAAATCTGTTGTTGGCTTTGTCATACAAATTTAGTAAAGAAAAAGAAAACTGACCCTGTTATTGTAAGTATGGTCATACATAAACAATATATATTTTTATGCAATTAATTTTAATTTTGGAATTTTTCTCTAACATACAGCTGGAGCACCTTACAGAGACGACAGGTTCTGTATTAACTCAGCTTTCATTATGGCTAGTCTTTACTATCCTTCTATAATTGTCATTGCATAACTTAAATAGTATAAAGTTTAAAATTATATGCAACATTAATTGCTTTAACTTTCAATTGTAAATCAATGTATTAATTTATTGTAGATGGTTAACACACATTACCTTCGAATAAGCTAAAGGATTTCAAAAATAGAGCAGACAGAGGATACAATGTAATGCAATTCCATTTGTATTCTTCCATAAGGTTTGCACTCAGATATTTTATTATTAACCATGAGTACTAACTAGCTAGCCATCTCCCCCGTTTATGGAAAATGAAAAATGATCACAGGTAGATTTGGCATTTAAAACTCAAGGAAGCAGTTTGCATTGGAGTGCTTTTCAAAGACTAGGCCTGCTCACATCCCATGGAGTTGACCTTCTAACCTGAAATGTACTGAGGGCTTAGGTTGGTTTAGATATCCTTCCACTTTAAATCGATTATTTTTTTCTTATCTTTTTAGATGCCCTCTCTGAACCAACAATAAAAACCACAAATACCAATATTTTATAGGACCTGCACCGCATTCCTATTCCTACACATTCATCTAAGGTGAACATGTGATTTTCAAATGCAACTATTAATGCTGTATAACATGTACTGCAAAACCAGACCTTCGGGCAACCATGTGTATATATAATTAGTATTTTATCTAAACAATAAGCTTTTGGCATAAATCCAAGAAGTAAAATACTTATTAGACTTGTATTTGAATAGTTTGCATTTATAAAATACCTGTACACAAAAGCAATTAGATCTGTCCTCAGTTGGGGACTTTATGAGAAAGGATGAAAGCAAACATCTATTTAGTGATTCTATTTTAGTGACTCATCTTTTCTTATTAGCTTTTACTACTTAATTATTTCCTTAATTATTATATGAAGTCAAAATCAACTAACTACATCACATAACCATGGGTCAGACCAAGGTTTAAAAAAATACTAGGGGGTGAGATGAAATGTTTAAACAGTTATTTGTTTTTTTTCTGAAAACAGGGCTCCATAGGCAGGTTATGTAGCTCTCAAGGTAGAACAAAGACACAGGACATTCAGGGTAAAAACAAATGACTCCAAAACAACATACAGTAGACCAACGCAAACTAAAAAGAAATTCCCACAGTCATCAGAACACAGCAAAAGAAACACGAGCAGGAAATCCCTACCACACATTACATTCCTTATATGCTCACCTCTCATCTAAGTCAACTCAGCTGACCCTGTTTAAACCTAATCAGGCCAATCTGGGATTCATTACCTAAGGTGCTTGTTTTTCCAGGGCTAGCTATCAATCGTTCATTTATATTAACACCGTATATTGGCGCCATAAAATCCATCTATCCATTATGCAGGGTTGCGGGGGTCTATAGCATATCCCAGCATTTATAGGCTCAGCACAGGCAATGACAAAAGGATGGGGTGCCAACCCATCTAAGGGCACACACACCATTCAAACACACATTCAAACCTACGGATTATGTGGCAACTCCAATTCACCTCAGCCTGTTTTTGGACTGTGGGGGTAACCCGGAATACCCAGAGGAAACCCCATGATGACACAGGGAGAACATGCAAACTCCACACAGAGCTGAGGCACAGACTTCAACGTTAATGTCCAGAAACTGGTCTCTAGTGGTGGGACATGACCATTCTAGCCACTGCACCAACATGCTGTCCTGTGTTGTATACTATGAAATAATAATAAATAAACAATTAGTGCGCGAGTTCGTAGCCCCTGTGATAAATTGCCATACCAATCAGGGTATACATTTATGTTCGGTTTAATTTCACACTCAGGACTACAGCATAGATATATGTATCCCAAACACCACTGTCTGAGTGTGTTTTTGCCTGCCAAAATGTTCTTTTTCTAGTGTTGACCCATTCCTTGCACAGACCCTGTTATTTCTGAAAATAAAACATAAATTGTCATGTTATGTGTACTTAAAAAATTAACCCTATGGAATGCACCAGGAGCCCATTCAAGATCTGAATCCAATCCATGTTTTCACATAGGTATTTTTGTTCTGACAAAATTAGCAATATTAAAAATACATAAACTCTAGGCAACTGTACTCAAATATGGCAGTCAGGATGTTAAAGTAAGTATAAAAGTCTTAATATTAAAGTAAGTATAAAAGCTTTGTTTGTTTTTAGAAAATAACAACTGTCATCTAATACTAGTAGTGGGTGGATATATTTTCTGGCCAGTATATATTGAGCCAATATTTCAATTTTTTATATCAACATTAGCCAATAGAGACTACATTACATTACTTATAATAGGATCATTCACATAGAATGGAGTTTTAAAATACAGCGATGATTCATGCATATCAACAAACCATCAGTCAATTCCTGGAGAAGGATTCAACTGCCAACCTTTGCATATGCCTGAGAGATAGAAAACCTGAATATTCTATTTATGCTTATTTTTATATTCATATTTCATGTAAGGATGTCTAATAAAAAAATCAAAGTGTTTACATCTTAGTCTACCCTCTTTAGCTATCTGACAAATACTGTATAGGCTACAATATTTAAGGTTGACCCCGTTAC